CCAAAATCTTACTCAATACTTGGAAACTTTTGTAGTTGATTCTAACATAATATCTCATGCAAGACTAATATTTGTTTGCTTCAATAAAAAAATATATATACAATTAAACTAGGTCATTCTTAACATTTATCTCACTTAGTCACTTGGAAACACGAACAATGATATTGTTATTGAGAGGGACAGAATTAAGAACAACACAGCACTAAAATGTTTATTGAGTTTCATTTAAAAAAATTAGGTTAAATTACAAATACACTTCCTAAAATTTGCTTAAAATACAGATTGTTCCCTTTGATTTGAAAAATTACAAATACCCCTTTGTAAGAATTTTTCAGTTGAAATAATTAATTGAAAAAAATAAAATTCCTAATTACTCTTCTATACAATGCTAAAATTATTTGAATTATTAATTGAAATAAATTTATGATATCATTAAAAATTGTTAATTGATTTGATGATTTATTAATAAAAATGGCCATTTGTTATAAAATTAGAAATTTCAAGAGACAAAATGTAATTTCCAAAACTAAAAGGGGCAAATCATATTTTAAGCAAAATCTCAGAGGATGTATTTGTATTTTATCCAAAAAAAGTATTAAATACATATTCTATTGGGATTACAACTATGTCAACTAACTAGACTCATTTTTCACACTAACATCAGAAACAATTTGCAGAGTATGGCATGGGCGACATGGTTTCCGCACTAGGAGATGTTTACAAGTAAGAAACCAATTGATGATATGTTTAAGGATCATCTAAATCTTCATAACTTCGTTAAAAATGCTTTGCCTGATGGAGTGATGGAGACTATGGATCCCTACATGCTATTGGATCATAACACAAGAAGGTGGATTAAACGCTTCATGCTTTCCGTTCTACGAATTGGGATTGCATGCTCAATGGAATCGCCAAGAGATCGAATGGAAATGGGAAGTGTTATTAGCGAATTGCGTAAGATCAAAAATACTTTCATGAATGAAGGGTTGTGAAAAATCTAAAAATCCCCTAGATAATGATTTGTGATTATGTATCAATTTTAACTAGTAAATAGCAATCCCAATCAAATAATCAAAAACAAATCGACAAAACGATTTTACATGGAAAAACCACAATTGGAGCACCTCCAATTGTGATAAAAAAAAAAAAACACGGGCAAAAGCCACAAAACAATCCACTAAGAAGACATGAAGGAATTACACAAGTGTACTCTTAATTACCTAGCAAATCCACGCCCGAATCAAACCGACCCCTATGTGCCTCTTCTAGCCCTGTCTTCACCTTGGAATTGTCTTGCCTAACGTTGAATCCACAACGCCAATGTCGAATCCACAACAATGATCCACTCCGGAATCCACTAAAGCTTTAGGCCCGAATTCCTTGAATCCACCGAAGAACAACTCTCTCTTTTGTATTGAATAAAACAAACTAAACAAACCCTTTGATATAATCCACTAAATTCATGATTAAAACTCTCACAGATATCAAAGGAAACAAGAAAAGAAGCTCCAGATGAAAACCCTAATACCCAAGAAGAAGATCTGGAAGCCGTACCCTAAAACTTGACTGAATCACAGCTTTTATAGAAAACAGATCCGCGATCTCTGCTCGAGCGTAGGAATGGCCACTCGAGCTAACCGGCTAAAACGCGTGTTTCAGAAAGGGTCTACGCTCGAGCTCAGGAATGGCCGCTCGAGCGGAAAAAAAACAACTCCCAGTACTTTTGTAGGTGAGTGAAACTTCTAAAAGGTCGCGATCTTCGCTCAAGCAGACAAACAACTTCGACTACAATTTTGTTTTTTGCTTTGGGGACGCTACCCCTCGATCCAACCTGGGCACTACCACGAACCTGCCAAGGGGCGTTGCCCCCTAGACCCTCGCGAGTTGATTGGGCAGCTCGATCCCGACATAGTCAGCGAAGTGACAAACATGATAGGATTAAGATCACAAACTCCTCTGCATAGGCACAATTCAGGATAGATTCCCATCTAAAAACTCATAACTGAAAATGAGTTTTATTAAACGAAATTGTCAAGAACAAAAACTGAACAGGTTGAACTAAGACTAGGAAGTTGGAAGAGATTTTGCAACATAAAAGTCGAAGGTGTGTATCATACCCTCCTGTTCCATGTATATACATACCAAAATGAAAAATGTTATACACAAACGGATATTTTACTATTTTACTTGATTTTCTTACAAATAGATACAAAGACATTGAGTTATGCGTATATTTATTTATATTATGAACCCTACTAAATTTGTGACTCATGGTAAGAAAATCTGATGAAAAATTTGTTTATGTATAGAACTACTCTAACAAAAAATGCATCTTTCACTCTTTTGAAGTATCTCAATTTCATTTTCTCGTTTTTCTTTTCTTTTTCATTGGCTCTCGTTTTCTTTTCTTTATTCTTCTTCTTCTTCTTCTTCTTCTTCTTTTAAATATTTTTGGATAAATTACAAATACACCCGTTGAGATTTGCTTCAAATACGAATTACCCCTTATGATTCTGAAAATTACATCATGTCCCTTGACATTTCGAATTTCATAACAAATGGCCTATTTTATTAATAAATCATCAAGTTAATAATCAGTTTTTAATAATCAAGGGGCTTTAGCCTAGTTGGCTAGCCCTTTGGTGACCAAGTCTCTCGTAAGGGGGAGGTCTTGGATTCTACTCTTAAGAGTGGAATGGGTGGGCAAGATTTTCTTCCAATGTAAATGGATCTCTCAAAGTGCTAATCTAACAACTAACCACTTTCATTGATAATAATAATAATTATTAATTTTATGTATAAAGAAAGAGAAAGAATTGTGTATTGAATATGTATTGAATGTTGTGAGTTAGCTCCTTTATATAGAGGAGTTACAAGCTTAAAGCCAAAAGAGAAAACAGAATTATTAAAGCATACTAATTATTATACTAACCTAATTATTAAAGCAGCACTTTACATATTATATTCTAACAGCCCCCTCAAACTCAAGGAGGATAGGAATCAACCAACTTGAGTTTGGAGAAAGTAACAAAATAGAAAAATAAAATAGGATAGGAGACACTGTATGGTCGTGTCGAACCGTTGGTGAAGACACTGTATGGTCGTGTCAAACCGTTGTAGGAGCTAACCGGAATCAATGTCGGGACAGTTTACGGGGTCATGCCGGACCGTTGTAGAAGCTAACCGGAATCAATGTCGGGACAGTTTACGGGGTCATGCCGGACCGTTGTAGAAGCTGACCGGAATCAATGTCGGGACAGTTTACGGGGTCATGCCGGACCGTTGTAGAAGCTGACCAGAATCAATGTCGGGACAGTTTACGGGGTCATGCTGGACTGTTGTAAAAAATACACTATATGATGGTGTATATAGGCTACCCAAAAGATATATATGTATATATATATCGAGCCCTCAAAAGTTGTGCCCTCAAAAGGCGCTCCCACTGCATCAAAAGTTGTGCTCGATAGAAATCGTCGAGCAGCGAGCCATCAAAAGTCGCGCTGGACACGCGGCGATGCACGTGATCGACAGAGTGTTGTGTCGGCCTCTCCGTCATTGTCTATATAAGCCGAGGCGGAGGCTGTGCAAACCAAACTAGTTTGAAACCTCTGAACATCTTCGTTCTGAAACACTCTGCAACCAACCCTTTCTGACATTACCAGTCTGAAATCGCTGCCTCTCTGAAACACTCAGCAACCCAAAACATGGCTGCTTCTTCCCATTCAGCAACCCAGAACATGGCCTCTTCTTCCCGTGGTCTGCTCACTCTCTTTCCAGACCTTAACGAGTCCACAAGAGAGATAAACCAGTGCGGTTGCCCTTGAACCTCAACCAAGCGCCCCAGGTTTTGCTCCGTTGAACTTTCCTATGCGGTCTGTGGAGCAAATAATGGCAGTGCAATCGGATATTGAAGCCAATCAGTATACATTGAAGTCATGTGTGGAAACCATGACTGCGGTCACAAACTTGTCGCACCGGCTTCAGAGTAGGACAAATGAGGTGCAGCAGTTAAACGCCCAACTGGCTCTGCTCCAGCGCATGTATAAGGATGCGCGAGCAGAGATATGTGTGCTAAAAGCGAAAAATAAGGAGCTGAAGCGGAAGGCCACCGTTATGTTCCAATTCGGAGGTCCGCCATATACTGCGGTGGAGGAGCAAGGGGGAGTGAACGGGCTCGACGGCGTGGGAAACACGGAGGCAGTGCTGTCAAGGGACGCCCAAGACCGAGGCAAGAGGAAGAGAGTAGTGGAAGAGGCAAAAAAGTAAGGCCGGTGTTTGGGATAGGATTTTGTGTTTTGTTTGTTTGTTTGTTTGTTTGTTTGTTTGTTTTTTTTGATCGGGGTTGATCCCGGCATGAAGAAATGACAAGTGTGTGGAATGAAAACCGAGTTGGTTGTGAATGGATTTTTTTTTTTTTTTTTTGTGTTGTTTTGGAATAAAATCAGCCATCATTCAGTAATGCAGTTGCGAAAGAGAAATATTAAAAGAGAGTGGTGGAAAGAGAAGTTTAAAAGAAATGATGGGAAAGAAAAATAAATGTGTTTTTGTTTGGTTTTTTTTTTGTTTTTTTGTTTTTTGAAATAATAATAATATATAAAATAAAGTGTTGGAGTCCACTGGAATCAATGAAGGCTAGTATAATATATTGTAGTGGGGAAAAGAATGATGGGTATGTTGATTATAAAATAAAATAAAAATGGGTAGTGGAGAAGATGAGTGTAAAGAAAAGTTTAGTGGAAATAGTGTGTTTGGTATTTGTTTGTGGCCACGTCTTTGGCAGATCAAACACTTTGGGAAAAGGTTAAAGAAAAGTTTAAAATATGAGGGGAGAATGGGGACAAGCCCATGTGAGTGAAAGATGGGCTTAAAGAAAGTGAGGGATGTGGGCGGTGGATGTTTTGGTATGTGTGGATCTACTGTGTGGCTCTCGGCAAAGAGCATGTCTAGAGAGAGAAAATGTGACCAAACAAGTTGGTAGGGAGGGAGATGGGAACATCAGTTCAGGTGAAGCCACTGTGTGGAGTATACAGAGAGAACCCACTGTGTGGCGTCGTGGTTGGTATCATGCCAACATCGGCTGTGGTGGATGACGGTGTGGTGCTCACCGGAGATGTACTAGTGCTAGTGGAACTAGCGCTAGCAGGATAAACGCAACCAGTAGAGCTGGGGTCTGAAGTAGTAACAGAGGCAGTGCCAGTAAAATCACAAGATCCTTGAGATTGACCCTTCTTTTGGAAGAAGCTGTTAACAGCATAGTTGCAATGAGCCTTAAGAGTGTTAGGGTTGTAGCAAGCAGCATTCTGGTGGATTGGGTTACAATCAGCCCCAGCTCCACATGCATAGTCCAATGTCTTCTGTAGTGTTGCATCACCCACTCCATCCTTGCACACACACCATGTTGCACTTGAATGACCAGCCAAGGCCAAGATAAGGGCTGCATACAGTAAACCATCCATGGTGAAAGATAGAAGAAGAGCTATCAATGGTGCTCAGAAAAAAAGCCTGCAACAGCTTAGCAGAAGATGAGAGAGAGAGAGAGAGAGAGAGAGAGAAATTAGAAAATTTGGGTTTGTCCGGCGGACGGCCAAGGAGAGGCTGCCGCCCGCCGGTGAAGTGGAATTACTAAGTTCTTAACCTCGCTCTGATACCATATTAATTTTATGTATAAAGAAAGAGAAAGAATTGTGTATTGAATATGTATTGAATGTTGTGGGTTAGCTCCTTTATATAGAGGAGTTACAAGCTTAAAGCCAAAAGAGAAAGCAGAATTATTAAAGCATACTAATTATTATACTAACCTAATTATTAAAGTAGCACTTTACATATTATATTCTAACAACAACAACAACAATGATAATAATAATAATAATAATAATAATAATAATAATAATAATAATAATAATAATAATAATTTAGAGTTTTTAAGGATATCAAAAATTTATTTCAATTAATAATTCAGGTAATTTTGTTATTCTATAGGAGAGAAGTTAGAAATTTCATTTTTTCAGTTCATTCTGTTAAATAAATTTTTTTGGTCAAGGGATATTTGTAATTTTTCAAATCACAAGGAACAATTCATTTTTTAAGTAAACCTAAGGGAATATTTTTTATTTATTTATTTGGGTATGTTTTGTTTTGGGGTAAGTGAACTAAAGCATGTTTATTCTTTTGCTGATCAAGGTTACTTCCAAGGTCCTCCAATAATGGTTACCTCCACAATGTGCTACTCCATCGACCAATAGAGTAAAGGTGGTGGCTTTGTGTTATTATTGCCTTATTGATGAGTATTCATATGATCGTTCATCATCTTCATCAGTTTTATTCTATCGCTTGAATAAATAATTGTCACTTTTTTCTTTTGTTTAGATTGTATTATATAAAAAATGTGTTTATGTGAGATATTTCCAACTAAGATTGTGCTAGAATTACCATTTATCCCTTTTAAAATTATCAGTTTGTTGTATCTTTGTTTGTGTTTGGGGATAAAAGATTGTTTTCTTAGATACTAGGGTTTAAAATTTTCCGTTTGAGCGCAACATTCTCTGCTTGAGCGGACCCAAAAACAAAAGTGTTACAGTTTAAGAACATTGAAATTAATTAGTTTTGAAAATTTGCACACTATAGATGACACTGAGATGATTGGTTTTAATATAAACATTGAAAATGTTGACTTGAATATTAAAAATGTTAGTTTATGACTTAGTTTTTTGGTTTTTTATTTATCTCGTTAATATGTAGAGAAGATGAGTTTGTTCGTTGTGTTCGGATAAATAGAGTTGAACTTTTACACAATATTCGATTATTTATATTTGAACAAAGTAATTTTGTTCAAATTATTACCAATATTAAATATTCATACATAAAAAATTAAACATTTTATGTTAGTTTGATTAAAATAAATTAAACTTTTATTCGTTGTTTAAATATAAATTTTTGAACACATTAAGTTTGTTCAATTCTATATTCACGAACATGACTGATTTGATAAATTTGTTAATTTTTTTTACAAAATTCTATACCCATTCAATGTAGCAACGTGGCAATGTTGAAATTGAAACACTTCATCAGCGATCTGAAATGATGAGATGAGACTCGGTGAGAGTTCAACACTATGGAAATCAATATCGGCGAAGATGGAGGCCAAACGAAACCTTTGTCAGCGATGGAGATCAAGATCGACGAAGATGGTCTCTGTTATGAAGATTGTGGGGATTTTGTTGTGTGTAGTGGTGAAGATGAAGGATTTTTAATGTGTGTAATGGTGTGTATTTAAATAGTTAGTGGTGTGTTAATATAAGGTTAGTAATGAAAAATTAAATTGTGAACTAAGATATTTTTAAATTTATTTTATGTGTGTATTAAGTAAGCAATTGGGATTGGGAGCTCTAAAGGGATTGCTCTAACAGTAGCTCTAATATCATGGAGTAAAAAAACAAAAAACATACATCACATCAGCCGCTAGTTTATTAGAAGCCTTTAGGGCTCAAGCTCTAAAACATTTTTCATTAGCAATAATATGTACTAAAAATATTAATAGTGTGTAAATAGAATCACCTTTCAATAATGGAGCATAAATTAGGACACGAAAGACGTGTAGCCATTGATGATACCGGTCTTTCTTGGGTCACTCTGAATATAATTTTCATCCTATTGCCGTCTATTGACCTTCACCCAAGTCTTCGATTGGGGGGTCTTTTTTTTCCGGTGAATACGATTATTGAGGCTCACATGGGGTTGATTTGGGTCATTAATTTATAGGTTGCGTTTGTTTGAACATAAAATATTTTATAAAACATATTTTTTTTTTATAAATTAATTTTACATAAAAAATATTTTTGTTTTTGTTTTTATTTTTGGACATTTGGTTGACATCTGAAATAAAAATATCTTATATTGGATAAATTATACTTTGTACCTTTGCACTTTGTACTAAAATTTTACTTTTGCTCCTGCATATGAAATCATAACAGTTAACGCCCTATACTTCTGGTTAAATCTCACTTTGATCCTTATCCATCAAATCGTGATAGTCAACTCCTGACATTTTTAATTAAATTCTATTTTGGTCTCTACACAAGTGTCAATATCCTCTTTATTTTGGTCTCTACACAAATGTCAATATCCCATTTCTGTTACTTTATTGTTTAAATCTTTAACATAATCCAGTCATGTGACTACGAAAAGAGGGTAAGAGAAAAAATCATTCTCATTTTCTATCAGTACACACTCTGTCTTAAAATTTACATTAAATTATGACTGTATTAGGTTAAAATAATACACATATGACACAAATAATGAATTAGAGAAAATGAATTAGAGTTTTGCATAAATTGAAATCATGACACTCTATTTTCCACAATGACACAATCTTCTGTCTATTCTTCTTTCTCTCCTTCATTTCTATGCTGCCTTTTTTTATTTCTAAAGTTTTATTTTCTTAAATTTTCGGCACAATTTTTAGCATACAAGCATATATAATATATAATTCCCACATGCTTTTCCCATAGGATAAGTGTGTATTGGTGGAAAATATGAATAATTTTTCTCTTTTATTCTCATTTCGTAATTACATTCTTATCACATAATTGGATGCTGCTAAAGATTTAAATAATAGAGTAACAGAAAAGGGGACATTGATACTTGTTTAGGGGATCAAGATGTGATTTGATCAAAAGTGCAAGGGGTTGGCTATCACGATTTTATGTATAGAAACCAAAGTAGGATTTGACTAGAAGTACAAAAGGTTAACTGTCATAATGTCATGTGCAGGGGTCAAAGTGAAATTTGGTGCAAAGTGCAAGGGTGCAGAGTGTAATTTATCCAAATATTTTATTGCTTAAAAAAAAAAAACTTGATTTAATAAAATATCATTTATGACTTTTTAGTGAGCTGAAATATTTATTTGAAAATGTTAAATATGTTAGAAAGGTAGTGAGCAATAGTCAATTTTATAAAAATTGACTTAAGGAATTTTAAAAGAAAATGATGCAAACATATTATTCTTAAAAAAATGTTTTACTTACTTTTTGTTCAATCAAAAAACAAAAAATGAGTAAAATATCAAAACAAATGGAGCCTTAGTGTCTTTTAATGGATTATTACAAAAATTATTTATAAAAAAAAAAAAAAGATTTGTTCCTTATAATAAAATATTTTTTTTTATTTTATCAATTTAAATTAAAAATTTTTGATTTTTTTTTTCAATCTCAGACATATGTTAATTTTTGTTAAGTGAACCTGATTGGAAAAATAATATTTTAATCAACCAACTTAATAGAAAGAAATATTTTAAACATTTTATGTACACTTATATTAAATTTAATTTGACAATATTAAAAACTCAAAATTTATTTCGTTATAATGATCAATCTTTTTTTAATAATTTCTTCTGGGTTATTTATATAAAAATTCAAGTCGATCAAATTCATCATAATTCAAATAGTGTTGAGTATAAAATTAATATAATTAAAAGGACATAAGTGAATTTTTAAAGAATAATTTGGAAAAATAAATACGTTTTGTTTAGTTTTTGAAATGAGTTTTGAGTTTTGAGTAAGGGTTGTTTGGAATGACCTAAATAAGTGCATTTTTTGTCTTTTTACGAAAAGATGTGCAGAAAAGTAGAGAAGTGATGTGATGGAAAAAAAATAAAAAGATAGATTATTTTGTGTATGCCAAACTTGGCTGCACATTTTGAAAGATAAATTGTTGAAAAGAGTTTGGAAAGTTGAAAATTTATTTGGTCATTAGTTTTGAAAATAGTTTTAGGATGATTTGTAAATTTTTTTAGTTGAATAGATGAGTGTGAGAAAAAATTTGATTGATTGATATGTAAAATGTGAGAGAATGAGAGAGGAGAGAGGTGAGAGGAGAGAGAAAAAATAATTGATTGATTTATTAAGAATAAAAAAAGAGGGGGGGGAAAGGAGAGAAAATTAAATTTTAAATTGTATTTTAAAAATTTATTAACTAAACCAACTTTTTATATTTTGATCCAAATCATATTTCAAAAACTAAGCCATGTTTTGAGAAGTTGATAAAAAGTCTTTTTGATTTTTTTGACTTTTTTGGTAAAAAGTTAACTTCTTTTGAATAAAAAAATTGACTTTTTTGACTAAAAAAGTAGAAAAATAAAAAAACTGACTTTTTTAAGCCTCTTCCCAAATATTACCTAAAATTTTCTCTATTACGATTGTTTCCAAATCTACTACAAATCGGACCAAAGACACACTACAATTGATGGTACATAGCTTTCCACCACCATCATTATCAATATTCATTTCCATCCTATAGGCTATTGCGATTGCTTCTTGATCAACATTCATTACGATTGCTACCTTGACGATTGCTTCAACATTCAATTCTCGATCAAATCAGGGGGCAGACCTAAAATTTTCTCTATTATGATTGCTTCCACCACCATCAACATTAATTTCCATCCTATTGCCGGGTTGTAACCGTCACCCCAAGTCTGAGTACATCTCTGTCTCAACGAACTTTTTTCCTTTGAAGGCTCACATTTTAAGAAGATAAAATAATATTAAATAATAAAATTTAAAAGTAAAAAAGCCTAGGAAATTTCATATTATAATATTATATATATACTATCTCGATGAAATAATCGATTCATCCATTACAAAAAAATCATGTTAAAATGGCTTACTGTGCTCTGCACTGCCCTTGTGTGGTGTTGCTATTCTTGCAGTATCCCTGCTGCCACTTCTACGGCAAATAATGAGACAGATAGATTTGCATTGCTGGCCTTCAAGTCTGCAATAATTCAAGACCCATTTGGTGCCCTCTCTTCCTGGAATCATTCAATCCACTACTGCCAGTGGAACGGCATTTTGTGTAGTCGTCGGCACCCTGATAGAGTTATTGTGCTAACTCTAATGTCCCAAGGCCTGGTTGGATCGCTCTCACCTCATATAGGAAACCTCTCCTTCCTCAAAAGTATCGATCTTGAAAACAATAGCTTCCACGGCCCAATCCCACAGGAGATGGGTCGTTTGTTTAGGCTACAAAAAATAGAATTCAGCAACAATTCGTTTGGAGGTGGAATACCCAACAACCTTTCCCGCTGCTCAAAACTTGAATGGCTGAGCTTGATTCACAACAACCTAACGGGAAACATCCCAACTGAGTTGGGCTCTTTGTCAAGGCTTGCAATTTTAGGCTTGAGTAGAAACAAGATTTCAGGAACCATCCCTCCTTCCTTCGGAAACTTCTCATATCTTTCCACACTCTCTTTATGGGATTGCAATTTGCATGGGGAGATCCCGGCAGAAATTGATAACCTTCGAGGCCTGATATCTGTCCAGTTAGCACTGAATAACCTGTCTGGCAAGGTTCCATCTGGCCTTTACAATATCTCCACCATCATTTCGTTATCAGTAGGTAATAACCAACTTGAAGGAAATATTCCTCCTGATATAAGCTCCACCCTTCCTAATCTTAAGTTTCTTAATTTTGCGACCAATTCGTTTACTGGAACACTTCCTACTTCACTGTCAAACGCTTCGGAGCTTGAACTGATACTCTTCTCTACCAATTACTTCAGTGGGACAATGCCGAGAGATCTTGGAAAACTTCTGGATCTTAGAATTATACATGTTTATCAAAATCGGTTGCAAGATGACCTCACTTTTATTTCGTCTCTAACGAATTGCACCAGTTTACAAAGGATTGATGTGGGTGACAATCTCTTTAGAGGTTCATTGCCTGACTCCATAGCTAATCTTTCCACTTACCTTTACTGGATGAATTTGCAGATTAATCAAATACATGGAAGCATTCCTTCAGGCATTGGGAACCTCGTCAACCTCACTCAGTTAACTATGGCAGGAAATAATCTTGCTGGCCCTATTCCATCCTCCATCGGCAGACTTCAAAAGTTGCATGCTCTGTACTTAGGCTTCAACAAATTCACAGACCTTCCATCTTCGCTTGGTAATTTGACTTTGTTGATTACTCTCACCTTGAAACAAAACAACATCCATGGAACCATACCTCCGAGTTTGGGCAATTGTCATAGCTTGTTGGAATTAGTCCTTTCTCAAAATAATCTGAATGGTTCAATACCCCCTGAAATTATGAATCTCTCCTCCATTTCAACATTCCTCTTTTTAGATCACAATGCACTAACCGGTTCTCTTCCATTAGAAGTCGGGTCTTTGACAAATCTTGGACACATGGATGTATCCTATAATAGATTATCAGGACCCATACCAAACACTCTGAGCAGTTGTTTGAGTCTGGAGTGGCTTTTGTTGGAGACCAATTCATTTGAAGGAGAGATACCTCAAAGTTTGAGCATGCTGAGGGGCTTAAGAGTATTGGATCTTTCATGCAACAATTTGTCCGGCGTGATCCCAAGTTATCTAGGTGAGCTTCAACTGGATATGTTGAATTTGTCTTTTAATATGCTACATGGACAAGTTCCCATACAAGGAGTGTTTCGAAATTCAAGTGCAATTTCAATTGTTGGAAATAATGATCTATGTGGAGGTATTGCAAAATTAGACCTTCCTCCCTGTTCATCCTCCAACTCAAGCAAAAATAAGCTCTCTCACAGGATGAAAGTGATCCTAGTAGTGGTGGTCGGTGTAGCGATATTTTTATCTTTGTTAGGTAGCTTCTTCATATTTCTTCAACGACACGTTTCAAAAAAGACCTCTAGCATGCCATCAATCATGCATCAATTTTTGAGGGTTTCTTATGCAGACCTTCTCAAAGCCACCAATGGATTTTCAGAGGCTAATCTAATTGGTGTTGGGAGCTATGCTTCAGTTTACAAAGGGATTCTTGATCAAGTTCAAATGGTTGTGGCGGTGAAAGTGCTCAATCTTCATACCAGAGGAGCTTCATGGCAGAATGCAAAGTACTAAGAGCCATAAGGCACCGGAATCTATTAAAAATTGTGAGCGGTTGTTCCAGTGTGGATTTCCATGGTAATGAATTCAAAGCTTTGGTATATAAATTTATGGCCAATGGAAACTTGGGCAACTGGTTGCATCAAGTCGAAGTGGGAGACCATGGGCAGCTAGAAGAATCAAGAAATCTTAAACTAATCCAGAGGCTGGACATTTCCGTTGATGTTGCCTCTGGACTTGAGTATCTTCATTGTGGTTGTGAGTCGACAACTATTCATGGTGATCTAAAATCAAGTAATGTTCTTTTGGATGATGAGATGACGGCTCATATTGGAGATTTCGGGTTAGCAAAAATTATTTCTACCGTTTCAAGTGATGTGGCACAAGGTCAAAGCAATTCAACTGCAATAAGGGGAACCATAGGCTATGTTGCTCCAGGTACAAATTCTTTTCAATTTCCTCGAAGTGGAAAAACTGCAATAGGAGAAGTAATATATACACACACATACATATATATACACCTTGCATCGTAGAATCTTTTTTTATTTTTTATTTTTTATCAGCAAAAAAAAAGTCTTTATTGAGGAAGATCAAAATACAAGAGTAAGATATACATCAATAAAGAGGAATAGTGCACAAAGCATCACAACAAAACTTAATGATCCCAACTAAGTTGGTACCAAGAAGTAAGCACAATCATTTGCAAGCACTAAACCAAAATGATTGGCGAGGAACCAATCAAGAAAACAAGACAAAAGAAACCAAAGCAAAGCCAAACAGACCCCTATCAGTTACAAGATAGGAAAAACAAATGAAATCCAGCCAAGCAATCATCATTAGCAGCAACAAGACCTCCTTAACAAACCCCCAATACCAAAGAGTGAATGTCTTGCCTAATTCCTCAGTCCCATGTGCCATCTCTGCCACTGATCCTTCCAGTATATGACCCACTGCTCCATCTCCACCAAGCATAGCAACCATAACAACCATATTCAGCAGCTGTTACATCTCCTTTAATTCAACAAACAGAGTGATAGTTGCTCCCAGCAGAAAAGCAAATCTGTCATGTTCCAGTTCTTCATATCAGATTTTGTCTTTGCCCAAAATACCACTCGAAACTTTATTAAATCAACAAGATCATCCGAGTTTGGTTGTTCATCTGAAAACACACATTCATATTTATTCCTTAAGTTCCAAACTGACCATAATACTGCCACTGGTATCACCTCCCAAACTATCTTTTTTGCTTTCTTAAATTTCCAGCTTTGCCACAACTCCAACAACAAACCCACTGAGCCTGGACTTACCCATGTCAATCCGCACCAATTTATGATTATAGACCATATCCTCCACACTTTAAGACATCGGAGTAACACATGGTCTGTTGATTCCACTTCTCCACACAAATGGACACATTCGTGGTAGAATAATTTCAGCATAAACAACCATACTAAAAACCATGGCTTTCTACAAAATAGTGGGCGCCTACATATTGTTAAGGATTTTTTTTTATTATATATTGTCATTTCTGAATGCTCCCAATGTTTGCTTCCACTAGAGTTAATCCTCTATGTCGCCTCCTTTGTTATCTCTTCTCTTTCTTCTTTTTTTTCCCCTTTAATGATATAAAATAATAAAATAAAATAAAATTAATTATTTATGTAATTCTAGTATGAAAGTTTACTCCGATCAAAATAGTCCATAGCATCTACTAGTGGAAAGAATTGTTATGCTACTTCGCAACCAAAGCATTTTCCAAAATCTTACTCAATTCTTGGAAGATTGTATAGTTGATTGTGATATGCCTTTCCATGCAAGACTAATTTCTGTTTGCTTCAATGAAAAATAAAATTAAACTATGTGAATCTTAATAATGATCTCACTCAGTCACTTGCACGCACCAACAAAAAATATTGTTATTGAGAGATTTGAAATTAAGGTCATCATACAACTTAAAATTGCCTTACAAGAATTATTATACATTTTCTATTGGGATTACAATTATGTCAACTAACTAGGCATACTTTTCACACTAACATTAGTAACAATTTGCAGAGTATGGCATGGGGGACATGGCTTCCACACTAGGGGATGTATACAGCTTTGGGATTCTTTTACTGGAGATGTTTACGGGTAAGAGACCAACTGATGATATGTTTAATATTCATTTAAATCTTCATAACTTCGTTAAGAATGATTTGCCTGATCGAGTGATGGAGATTGTGGATCCCTGCATCCTATTGGAGCATAACACAAGAAGGCAGATTAAAGACTGCATGGTTTCCGTTCTACGAATTGGGGTTGCATGTTCAATGGAATCGCCAAGAGATCGAATGGAAATGGGGAGTGTTACTAGCGAACTGCGTAAGATCAAAACTACTTACATGAATGATGGGTTGAACCAAGACTAGGAAGTTGGAAGAGGTTGTGCAACATGAAAACCAAAGGTGTGTAGCACACCCTCTTGACTGATGCATATGCATACTGAAATAGAAAATGGGATACTCAAAGCATATTTTTTATTTGAATTTCTTCCCACTAGACACAAAGACATGAATTCCACCTATATTTATTAATATGGACCTATATTTATTCAAATTTCTCATTTTCTTTCTTTTTTATTATAATCTGTTAGTGCAACAAAGATGAGTGAGTGGACTAAAGCATTTTTTTTTTCCTTTGGCAAGTGAACTAAAGCATGTTTATTCTTTTGTTGCTTAAGGTTACATCCAAGGTCCTCCAATAATGGTTACCTCAACAGTATGCTACTTCACAACCAATAGAATACAAGTGGTGGCTTTATGTTACTGTTGCCTCAGCAATCTTTAATCTATTGCTTGAATAAGTAACTGTCACTTTTCTCCTTTGGTTAGATTGTATTATATCAAATATATGTTCATGTGGGATGTTATGTTTCCAGCTAACATTGTGTGCTTGGGATTACCAATATTTATCCTTGTTAAATAAAACTATCATTCCGTTGTATCTTTACTTTTCCTTGAAATTGCATGTCCATGTATCAAAAATTATTTGTTTTGTAGCTTTTTTTAATATTATTATAATTTCCCTTTTAGTCTTTGTTACTCTGTGTAATATAGATTCATGCACTACTAGCACTAGCACTAGGTGTCCCACTAGGATATATATACATGTGACAACTAAGCTAACAAGTAATACAAGCTCTATTGCTGTGGAAACGAAGGAAAATATGTCAAAACAGAATCTTGATATGGGTGTTTTTGGAGATCTCAATTGAGCCAAATATTCCTTGTCAGATGCTACAAATAATTAAAATTCAAAAACATGTATGATGGAAGAGACACATCACATAAAGAAATTAAAGATTACTGACCTGAAGGGCTTTATTCCACTAGACGACTCCCTTTGACACTAGTAACAAACACACAGTTTTGGAAGGTATATGCATATGCTTTTGTGGCTCAGCATATAAGGAACCAATATATTAAAGTAATCGGGATTCAGGTCCAACATCTTGCCAGTTGTTAATAAGTTCAGGAACAATCTCAACAAGATCTTGCGGCTCAAATGTTTCATTAGCTATCCTCCAAAGGAAAGTTGTCTACCCAACACTGATGTTTCCTTCAACATAGAAAGTGAGTCTTTTCTTAGGTGTTGGCTGCACATCAGAATCGGAAATGTCCTTTGACTCTTCATCGACATTCACTTTGTAGTTATGCTCAGCATGGTTTCTGTGAATAATTTCCACTGAACACTGCAAAATCTCAACCATCTTCTGATTGTACTTCCCAAAAAACTGCAATTATAAATTTTCCTTCAATTCCCATTGAAAAATGAGGTTGTTCTCAGTTTTGAAGTATAGTACTTGAATAAAGACATGGTTTTCAAAATTCACTGACTAGGAATTACCATGCTCAAGGCCAATTTACAAGTTCGGGTAGCCAACTGAATTCACTTCAGATTTGCCCATCCTCAATACAAGACAACAAATTAACAATATATTTTTACAAAAAACACAACTAATAAATAATAATCCAAAAGTATAGATTCCATGCACAATGCATATACCACAAGCATTTGCCTCAATTTCATTTATTTTTGGTTAATTTTACTTTTATTCCTAAACTATTGTCATTTTTTCTATTTAATTCCTAAACTATCAATTAAAACTATTTAGTCATTCAATGTCCAATTTCAGTTGATATGGTCAAATTGAAGACAATCAATAATGGTGTAAAGCTAACACGCAAAAAGATAATTTTATAATTTGAACAATTTAAATCGTACAATACAACCAAACATCTATATTCTTACCCACACTATATTACATAACTTACCCCTACAATTAAGCATCCATCTTCTTCTCTCATCATTTAAAAAAAGTGAATAAAAAAAAAATAGTGTTTAGTGGTGTAATTTAAGTTGTTCATCTTCTTCTTCTTCTCTCCTCAATCCAAAATAGTGAATGAAAAAAAATGAGTGCTTAGTAAAATGATTTAAGTAGTTCAAATTTTTGAAATGACATACACATTATTAAATTAGGTTTTGACAGTTACTATTTAGACAAACATTTTCAATTGGACCAAAATTAAAAACTTTGGGACTAAATAGGTGAAAAATTTACAGAAAATTAGTGACAACTTAAAGAATAAAACTTTGGAAGGTTTTTGAAGACTGAGAAAGCAGAGAGAGGAATACTAGATAATCTTTGTAGAGTTGTTTTGAGCTGAGAAACACACCTGCAAATGCAATGCCCTTATTCTCCACCAGCTTCCTCAAATTCCTCGAACCTTCAACAGAATCAGCTGCCTCGAAACAGTGTGATTCGAGGCAGAGTGAGATACACACAGTGCGATTTAATTCTCCTTGAGCACAACTGGGTCCACATCGCCAATTGAGCATTGGCAAATAGGGTAAGCGTTGTTGGTTTTTTTGCAAAACGCGAAAAGTGGATTTTTGGGTCAAAATAAATTATTAAAATCTGTTTGAAATAAATTTAATCAAATAATTCAAAATAATTTTTCTAAAATTAAAATCTATAAGCTAGCCAAAAAAAAAGCCACACCAAACACCATCAATGAGTTAGGTAAATTATATTTTTTGCATTTTTATTTTTTTATTTTTTAATCTTAACTCTTCAATTTTTTTAATTCTTATTTGGCTTTTAGGTTTTAATTTTTTTAAATTTTTTTAAATATTAATTTAAATGTAAAATTAGATAAAACAAGATGTTGATTGTCACATGACATAAAAAAATATTATTATATTTAAGTTTAAATTTATATTAAAGGTGTATGCCAAATATATTAATATATTTTATATTATGTGACTATTAATGTGGTATTATTTTTTATTTAATTTTACATTAAAAAATTAACTTTAAGAATAAATTTATAAAAAAAAATTAAAAGTTAATGTTAAGAAATAGTTAAAACATAAAAAAGACAAAACAAAAAATCCTGTCAAGTTATTTTATTTTATTGGATAAATTACAAATACACCCCTGAGTTTGATTAAAATACGAATCACCCATGTAGTTTTGATAATTACATTCTACTCCCTGAGGTTTCTAATTTTATAATAAATTACCCATTTTATTAACAAATCATTAACAGTTTTTAATGATATTAGAAATATGTTTCAATTAATAATTTAGGTAATTTTATTATTATATAGGGAAACAATTATGAATTTTATTTTTTTAGTCAATTCTGTTAAAAAAAAATCTGATAAGGGATATTTGTAATTTTTTAAATCAAAGAGGCAATCTGTATTTTAAACAAATCTGAAGAAGTGTATTTATAATTTGTCTTATTTTATTTATTTATTTATATATTGGGTAAACATCCTGACAAGTTATCTAACCATGTAACAACATTTCCACGCACTTTGCTAAATCAATATAGCAAGCCAAAACGAAAAGAAAAAAAAAAGAAAAGTAATACTAGAAATTTTAAAAGTTTTATTAAATTTTTTATCAAATATTTTATATTAGTGTGAGACTCGTATGGTGCTCACATGGTATGGATCTCACATTCATATGAGACATTTGATAAAAAAAAATTGATAAAACTTTTAAAATCTCTAATATTTATAAATTAAAAAAACAAAAACAAAACAAAACAAAAATCTACAACAGTCTCATCTAATGCTCCAACAATTTGATGCAAGCTACAATTACTAGTTAAATACCGCGAGGCACTGCTGCTGGCTTATATTTGGGTAAATTACAATGGAAGAGGCTCCTCTCCAGTTGGTTATTCTAATTGGAGGGTGTTATTGGATCTATGTGAGCTGGTCACAGAGCTCGCATCAATTCTGAACAGTTCAGTATGTATGGTTTATCAAGTACTTCATCTTTGTAAAAAATTACATTAATCGGATATCAATAGTCATTTGATCAGATCATATTTGTATAAATAATTTATTTTAAAAATCGTACTTACTGTTCACACAAATATGATTTGATCAAATAGCTATTGATATCCAATCAACATGATTTTTTTGCAGAGATGAAATACTTTAATAGTCCTACACATTCAACGTTTCGGATTATCGATGTAGATTCTATAGTGGGCCCACGGAGGCCCAATAGCACTCTGTGGCCAATTACAATAGTCTTTCTTGGTATTTGGACAAAAATAATAAGTTCTATAATTTTAGTATAATTACACTATTTTTCCTTTTAATAAGATTAAAAATACCAAAACTAATATAGATAGTATGAAAATATTAGAATAAACAAAATGTATGACAAAATCATTTTTTAGAAAATGTTTGAGACCCCCACAAAGGAGGAACCCCACTGATGTATTGACCATTGATGTGTTTGAATTTTTTTGGGGGTTGTGTCTGACAGTGACATAAATGGTTCAGATCATTTTGGGGGTTGTGTTTTGTGAGAGTCTCTATCATTACTAATCATTTTTCTATCAATATAACTAATACATAATCTATTTCAAAATTTAAATTTGAAATGGATAAGAGATTTTTTAAAATATTTTAGAAACAATTGTCCTACTAGGACATTTCAATGGTTATGATTCATTTGTCTATTTACATAGATGACTGAGATTACCTCTTAAATATATATCAATATATATCTACACTTACTTCCCGCCCAAAGAGTGAGCCTCCTACTTACCCACGTCTCCCCTCTATTCTATCTTTATCTCTCTCTTCTCACCTTCCCGCTTGCCCACGTCTCCTCTCCCTTCTATCTTTATCCCTCTCCCTTCTCTGTTCTCACCCACCCCATTCCCCTCTCCCTTCTCTATTCTCACCGTTCTTCTTCTTCCATACCCACTGTGCCAAGTTCTGCTACCGATGCTCCTCTTCATCACAAGGTTAGTTCTCTGATTCTCCTCTTCATAACGTTTTTGCCTTCAGTATTGTTTCGATTTCAGTATTGCTTCCCTTCTCGCTCTTTGATTTCAATTCTTCTTTCCTTTCCCTTACAGCCCTTTTGCCTTTTTTTGCCCCACCATTTCCTCCGATTTCTTTTCTCTTTTTACGAGTTTTTGAGAAAGAAAACCTAGAAAAATAAATTGACAGAGATTGTATTTCCTTTTTTACCAGTTTACAATTGTTCACTTTAATCAGTTTCTAAATGATCAAGAACAGATTAAATGGGATCAGATGGTAGAAACTACTCAGTATTAGAGAAAAGATTGATACTCGGCAAGAACAGATTAATCAATCTACAGAAACTGATTCAATTTCACTTTAATCAGTTTGTTCTTGCGATTAGATTGTATCTTTAATCAGTTTTTGAATGAAAATAATCGGTATTTTCTGATCACAAGGTAAAATTCCCTTTTTTATTTTCATCATTTCACTGGTATGAATCTTTTTATATGAACAGTGTGCTACAATCCTTGATTGATTGAGCAAGGTAAAATTCCCTTTTTTACCAGTTTACAATTGTTCACTTTAATCAGTTTCTGAATGATCAAGAATAGATTAAATGGGATCAGATTGCACAAACTGATTAAATCAGAAAATACTTGGTATTAGAGAAAAGATTGATACTCGGCAAGAACAAATTAATCCCATTTAAGTGAATCAATCTGCAGAAACTGATTCAATTTCGCTTTAATTAGTTTGTTCTTGCGATCAGATTGTATCTTTAATCAGTTTCTGAATGAAAATAATCGGTATTTCTAATCGCAAGGTAAAATTCCTTTTTTTATTTTCATCATTTCACTGGTCTGAATCTTTTTATATGAATAGTGTGCTACAATCCTTGACTGATTGAGTAAGGAAACCATACTTAAAAGTTTATTGGGTATTTGGTGAGATTCGAGTCTGCGATCTATTGTCTGCTATGATACCATGTGAAGTTATTTGGGACCAATTCATTTAAAGGCTTAATTGTTTTAGAGAGGGGTAATTTTATTTAGCCTTTCTGCACATCCATTTTCGATTCTTTATATATTATGTGATGTGTGTGGGCCTTTATTTTTAGTGATTTGTTGTGCCTTTGGGTTGAATACCTTCATTGTGTTTTTTTGATCGTGGACGAGGACTTGATGCCTTAAGGTATGAACATATTACTGGGATGATAACTTTGGTCTCCATTGACTCTAATGTGGCCCAGTTATGGTGTTTCTTACTGATACAATCTGCAAAATTTGAGTGGGACCTGTGAAAGATTGTTTGCTGAATGGAAGTTTGTTGCCCTGTTAATCAAATTTAATGATGGATTGGT